AGAGAGAGAGAGAGGGGGGGGACCGACAGGCAGAGAGAGCAGCAGTCCGTCTCCGCTGGTGGTTCTGGTTAAAGCTCCATCCTCGACGCACACGCAGCGGTAAGTGGCACTGGCTCTACTGCGGCTTCACTCTCTTAAACAACTCTTAAACTAGTCCACTTCATTTGTTTTTTCCATTTTAAGTGTATGTTGTTGCTATAGTTGGTGTATTGGGGATTATAAAAGCTGTGGTTGTAGGAGACGGTCATTTGAATTGCGGCCGTTAGGGCGCTGTTGACGGAGGGCACGCGGGCACAGCTAGAGCACGGGCGGCTGTTGGGCACGCGGGCACTGAGTTACAATTGCTAAAAGTGAGGGAAAATTACTAAGCTAGTTAGCAACTTTAATTCACAGCGGGCGTTCTTCCAGGCTGTTTTGGGGAACATTAGCCCTGTGTGAATTGATAAAAAGTCAATTTTGTCTCACAATAATTCCTATATTGCTTATTCCCCCCCTTCTCCTGTTAGTATGTTGAAGTTAAAGAGTCGCGGAACACATATTCTCCTTGTTTCAACAGCAAAACGGCAACTTCCATGGAAGTTAATCAGGGACGCTTTTATAAATGACATACTTTTTTAAAATTTGAATCGTGTTAAAATATGTGTGGATATGCTGCAGATATTTGGGAACTCAGTTATTTTAACGGACCTGCCACACGTTAAATATATGGCTCAAGTCGCCGAAATGCCGTTGAATCGGCGGCTTAGATGTGTAAAAATAAGTTTCATAAAATGTGTTTCTTATGTTTATTGTTGCTTAAGTTTTCTGTCTTTTTTGGTGTTGTTTCTATAAACGGGAATTATTTTTTTTGCGAGATATCATAGTATCTGGTAAACTGTAAACTGTGACTGAGGGAGATATTGTGGTTTAGTGAGTAAAGCGTTTCACCAGTAGAGAAAAGCTTGAAACATTAATGGCATGGTGTTTTTTTCTGTTTCAGTCGTTGTGGTCTCAGTGCACAGAGCGAGAGAGGCAGAGAGACCTTCAGTAGGACTGTAGCATAGTGGACTGATGCTGATCCGCTCTGACTGATTTTCTTGTCTTTTTCTACTCTCTCTCGCCCTCTCCCTCTTTCTGACTCCATCTTGGTCCTTCCACATCATGAAGTTAGCATCTAATCAGAGGATATAGAGATTTATTTCTTTTTTAAATCTCACATCCTCACATGTCTCTGCAACACCAGTTTTTCTCACGTCACATTCTTTCAATCCCTGCTTCCCTGCTTTGAGTCATTGTTCACTTAATGTCTGCTGGATCTGGTGGCGCTGTATTTAGTGGCTGCTAATGAGAGTCCCTGTCAGATTGAGCTGGAGCCAGCAGTTAAACATGTTTGTCGTCTCGGACTGGGCAGCTTGAACGGTTCTTGGTAGCAGCTTTGGGTCAAAAGGCGGCAGCAAATCAAAGCTGTTCGGTGCCAGAGGGGTGGGGTGTGCAACATCTGGGCAGTTGTGTACTGTGGCTGCAGTGTTGATTGGCATGTTAAACGCAAGAACAAGACTTTGTGACATGTTTTGTGAAAAGAAGAAGACTTAACATTTTTCTAGCTAAATATGTATTCAGGACTTTTGAATCAAAATGCTCCTTTATGTATAGTGTAAAAGCCTCTAAAAGCAGTATTTAGTCCCCATGACACTCCACTGAAAGAACACTAATGAAATAGTTCAGGTGAGTTTCAGTCAGACACTTTTAAAGCAGGACGAAGTACATTTGGTTACTAATTTTATTTATTTGATACCCCTGAGAGTGCTGACTGACTGACTTGGTTTATGGGCACAAACTTCAGATTTTAGTTGTTAAATAAGGAACTGCTCAGTAGTGAAACTGAACTCTTAACCCCTAAAACTTTTACCGTGGAAACCCTTAACAGGCCGCTGGAATTCAAAGCCTTGGCTGATAATTCCGACCCCTTGTTGAGATCCATTGATTTATACTTTGTAGGATTCTGGGGTTTCACAGCATGCATGGAAGTACCTTGGAAATGTACTTAACACTGGCATCCATCATCCTTATTATGTGGCCTGAGTCAGTCCTCACAGACATTCCTCGCTGACTCAGATGTGATCTTGGCGTGGCCCATCGCTTGCGTTTTTTATAGAGCGAGAGCAGGAGTAGCCCACTGGCTGGTCGGCACATAATGACTTTATTGTAACTATTAGCCCCACTAAAGACTCAGAAATGAGGTATGCATTCAATCCTCTGAGCAGGGTTTCTTTTGTGTGTGTGTTACTCCCATGATCCTCTTCCACCAGTACCCTTTTTTTGATGGATAGTAAATATGCTTCATTTACCATCAGATACTGCCAGTTTGTAAAAAGGCTGACGTCTAGTTCCTCCGGATCAGGACTGGCCAAGGTTTGCCCGCCATAAGGTTCAGTTTGGCCCGCCAGCCGTTTGTAGTGGAAGAAAAAGTATTTTTTGTGGCGTAAAAATGCTCTTTAAATACGTAGGATCCCTGGTTATTAATAATTTTTCACAACAGGAAGTCAGTCAATTGAGGGAACCTGGGATCCTAGCTCCATTTTACACCTTAACAATTTGCTTTGGTGGCCCCTGTGGCCCCCCACTAAGTTTCAGTTTAGGCCCTCCAACGTAAAAGGTTTGGGCACCCCTGTTCTAGATCAGTGGTTCCCAACCTTTTCTATCATTTATTAAACTGATGACCTCTGTCTCAGTGGCATATTTTATGGATATTTCCTATTATATTAAAAACGGTACAATGAACCCAGACAGTAAAGTCAGTAACTGCAGGAAGTTTGTATAAAACCAGAGATTTGGAAACATTCTGTATTATGTATTTGTTATCATTTCTAACAATCAAAGACTGTTTTTGACTAATTCAGTGTTTTCTTGTCCCTGAAGCTTGTCCATTGTTGTATTAGACAATTTACTCCCCTTTACATTTCTTCACAGAAGTGAGCCTACTGTATATTTATTAAGATTTCTAACACCCCCTAAATTCAAGAAGGGCTTGCGACCCCCATGAAGCTTTGGCGACCCCAAGTGGGGGTCCTGACCACTGTTCTAGATGTTCTTTATTTACTCTATTAATAGAGTATTTTCCTGCCATGTGCATGGACATCAGGTCTGTGCTGGTGGACTGTGTAGTCCATTAAAAGTACAAACTGGCATAGAGAGCCTGTCCCGCAGTGCCGGCATGTACCAGGATGCATTGTTTGTGACCACTATGGAGGACACTCGGAGCCACAATAGGGGACTTTGTTTCCCTGAGCTTAGCCTGTAAGGCAACACATCTTAGGCTGAATACAAAGCCCAGGGTGGTCCTGACCCTAACCTTAACTGTCTTTAAGCTAATTACAACGTGTCAGTAGTGGACCTAGTTGGTGGTACATGGTGCAAACAGCTGACTGAGTTGTAGGCTGTTTGAATGTAGAGTTAATAGTCAGCCAAACTTTTGCTGGATTTGGCCTGTGTGATTAACACTTAATCAACTTTCACATTTTACAGTTTAACTGAAAGCCAAAAATAATGTCAGAATAGATGTAAAAGCTAAGAACATACAAATAATACCACGAAAAGCACAGGGCATCAAATAATAAAGCAAACATCACAAGGTTAAAATGAGTGAATTCTAAAGCACTTCAAATAATGCTTCTGCTTTTTGTTCTTGTTCTTGTTCACATGTATTAGTTCAAAAGTGGAAGTTCCTCTTCCACTTTTTTGCTGAGCAAGAAAATTCATTCTTGACCTTAAAAACAATCTCAATTTTTTTAACTTAAGGTCCGCTTAGCCTGCTTGTTATTATCCAGTTCTTTCAAACACATCAAAATTGGGAAGATTGTGAGATATAGACGTGTCCAAGGAGTTAGTTATTTTTGAAACATCTTTAGTCCTTCACAGAGATGAATAAAATATAACTAATAATAAATAATAAAATATGAGGAAGGAAGGAAGGATGGATTGGTGATTGTTGGAACAGTGGA